ACACACCGACATGTGCACGTTTTTCGATGAGTGAGGCTGATGGCTATGCAAGCCTTTGGTGATGACCATCTTTGGTCTTCTTGGCCATCTCGGTCAGTGAACATCTTCTTGAGATTGGTATTTCGTGTTTTGCCTTTCGGTGATCGATTCTTCTGCTGAGCACTTCGTCTTCATTTTTGTTTTTGTGGCGTATTTAAACGCGCTTCGTCCCGTGAGAAATGGGGTCTTATCTTTCATCCCAAGTCACCAGTCCCCTCTTCACATAAAATACCAGTCGAACCTTGCTACCCGCAAGTCTCAGTCGGCATCTTGCAGATTACATCAGACACCCCATCAGTCATAAACTACCGTTTCGGACCCTTATTTTTCAACCTACGCCACAACTTCGAAACCATCACCGAGGTCTCACTTTTCTTTCTCCGGGCGCTTCCCGTATAAAGTAGGTTTACCTGCCTCCAAGCGCGGTCAAGCTACTTACTAACTTCCTGAAAAAGTTTCTAGCCTCCAACATACAAGTTTTCTGTCTCCCAGACAACCCCGCCACCGTCATCCACGCGACGCAACAAGCAAGCAAGCACAGCTTCGAAAAGCGTAACATCCACACCAAGCGTCAAAATGCCCGAGGAAATCATCACCAGCAGCGGCAGCTACACCTTCGGTAGCAGTGGCTCTTCAGGCTCTAGCTACACCAGCTCGTCCGCCGGCTCTTCTGGTTCCACTGGTGGCAGTGATGACTGGAGGCCCCGCACCTACACGCCTCTCCCCATCTCCGCGGGAAGTGCTGCTGGCGGCGGCAGTAGTGGTAGATGCACAGATGAGGCCAAAAGAAGGAGATAAGTGCGTGGGCTGATGCAACAAGCGGTACGGATGGCAGGTGATACCGATGGCGCGGGGAAAGGAGTAGGATGATGACGATCTGATTTACGGCGATTCCCGGCGTTGAGGCATGACTTTTCTTGTTTTTGCAAAACATACCCGGTGGCATGTTCACTTTACGAATGACCAGACTTTCTTATGTCTAGTTCTTTGCTGCTTCCCCTTCAACTCAGCTTTGTATCACCCGAGCAACACTTCTTCATGATGGCTTAGAAATCAAAATCAGGGGACGCGGGTCCAGAGACCACTTGCAAGCTGCGAAACCTACGTACCCATGATGTTGAAGTTGTAGAGAAAATGCTTTTACAAACTCGCACAAATGTTCTCACAGATGAGCTCTTCCAGCAGACAGCAAAACTCAGGACAGTTTTAGCATCAGGAAATAACTCCGCGAATTCTCCTCATGAAGTTATCCTGCAGTGTCAACTCTACATCAGACACTTCAAAGCATGTTTCTCAAATATTGGACACTTCCCTCCAATCACCGTAAATTCGTACCTTTGCCAAAACCTACCAACTCCAGACATCAGGTATTGACCGACTGTTTCTAAGACATAGCTTGTGTCACCAGTTCCTCTACGGCAGTTTCTCAACAAAATTATCCTCCCCAGGTGTCAACCTTCTGACACCAACTGACACATATGCTACATACCAAGCCCACGGCACTTTCAGCCAAGTTCAGCCATACCCGGCTTTCATGTCGCACACGGTCTCTGCTCTCTCGATATCGGATTTCTGTTCATAGGGGTTTGATCACATGAGGATTGTAATGCTGTTCATAAACCACGTGGTTTTGTAGACACCATGACCCCCAGCCCGGTCACCCCCCTGGTCGGTCACGTCTCCACCCCACATAACATTATAACCAGGAATCAGAAAATATTGTAAATTGGCCACTTTTACAGCGTTTTTGACCGTTGAAAATGTTATAATATTAATCTATATACTTGTAAATAGTTTAGAATATTATTTCGAATGCTTTCGAAACCTCTTGTAAGGGGTTAGGGGTCGTTATTGTCTCCTCCTTCTTCTTAGCGGTCTTCCTACGCTTAGGACCCTATTTTAAGACCTTACGAGCTTCGATAATCTCATTTATCCGTATAAATTTATTATTACCCCCCTCTTTATTAATTTTACGTTTAATTTTAAACTTTAGCGATTCTAATTATGTACGTAACTACTGGTTTTTTTATAATAATAAAATTATCGTAGCGTTTTTAAAATTTAACGATTTAATACCTTTATTATACTACATTTTGAAATTACGGTCGAGATTATAGAATTTATAAATGCTTTCGAATATATCCTTAACCTTTTAGGGTATTATAAAAATATAATTTATTTAATCAATAACGTCCTTAAGTAGTATTTTAAGTAAGGATAATTAAATAAATAGGGCGGCGTTATTAATAATAGTATTAAAATCGTTAAGGATTATAAATCTATTTATTAATTATATTCCTATTTTTTTAAACCTTAATTTAAGGTTTCTAATATTTACTCCCCTTCGTAAAGTTTTATAATAATATTTCAAAAATTATTACTTATATATTAGTATAAATATTAAAAAATTAATATAATCTTTAATTAAATCCTTAAAATATAATTTAATAGTAATAAATATAGAATAATCGAATAACTAGATTTTATAGCTAATATAGGGAAGTAGAAAGAGGAGTTGAATTTTATAACGGAAGGCTTCGATAAGGAAATCGTTTATTATATAGTTCGAATACTCGTCGAAAACTAGAAGGCGTTAAACATCGTTATTTAACTACATTTCTAGGATATAAACCTCCTTTAATTATCGTAGGGCAATATCGCCGTTACTCTATTTAATAAAAATATTATTATACTTCCAATCCTTTATTTCGTTAGGGAATTATTAATCTTGGAGGTTAGCGTTAGTAAAAATGACAATAGGCGTTAACCTTTTACTTTTAATAATCTTATATTTAATTATAGATACCTAAATAATCGTATCGGTCGTTATTATATATACCTTCTTAATTAAATAAGTCCCAAATACCTTACCTTTATTGGATTTTAATTTTTAAAATTTATATTTATTTATATTAGCGATATTAATGGGTATAATAGCTTTATTTCGAATAATAGTTTCTAGAAGGTTGAAAAATTTCGTAAATATCTTTTGGGTAGAACCTTTAACCTTGGCCAATTCGAGCGGACTCGAAATTTTAATCCTAATAGAAGGATTCCTCTTTAAGAAGCGGTCTACCCAATACGCGCCTAATTTATTATAATCCTCCCCTTATTTTAATATAATTATTACGAAATTAACGAATTAACGACGGTTGGGAGCCCTTTTAATACCCTCTTTATTTAATATTTATTTATATAGGAAGCTTTTTTAGTCGGGAGATAGGCGTTATTGCGGTATTTTCGAATCGCGCGCGGAGGGGACGCTTCGAATACAGTCGGATATAATAGATTAGGGAACGCCGTACTTCTTAGCCGCTATACGTTGGGAAAGACTATTACGAACGTTAACGATGGTTAAATCGAGCGACGACGAACTTATCGTAATAGAAATAATTAAAAACGATGGTATTTTGATAAAGTTATGGTTGTTGAAAGAAAGAGGGTAATTATTTATATGGGGGGGATGTGGATGCGGGGACGTGACCGTGTATAGGGTCGACCGTGCATGGGGTTAGTGCTTCTAGTACCTTGAAACGTTGCTCTGGGACCTAGCAAGCTGGTATTGGTTGGTTGGTTGGCTGGGTACATAAAGATGGGCTTTGCATCGCGGGGACCTGACTGACTGACTGACGCGAGCTGCCTGCCTGACGCGCAGGTGAGTCGCGACTGCGGGTGAGAGAGGTAACGTGAAGTTGACGCGCATATCGGGCGGGCAGGTTTGGGTACATGCTCGGTTAAGCCCGTTGTAGAAAACAGGTGCGAAGACCGCACGTTTTAATGTATGTGGCATCTGCGGGCTGTGTGTGGGTTGGAGAAAAAAATTTCGTAACAACGCGAGGTTATCTAGCAGGTAGCTCCCGAGCTGCACGGGTGTAGAGGCAGAGATGTTTCTATTTTAAGCTACACATACGAGTACTATAGGCCCCGTAGTTGAGGGTATCTCGTCGAGATCATCACGATTGAAATGATATTGTCGCCGACGTTATTAACACCATCCGGCACCCGATTGCGATGCCCCGCCACAAGATAGACAAGTACACGTATGGAGGCATCCAAGGCCAAGTATCTCCTACAAAAAATGACCCGATAAATACGTACTACTGCCTACCTATTTCTTGGGGGGACAAATGATCGCTGACAGCAGCGCTGTAGGCAACCAAGGGCGAGTGGCGTGCTGCGCCTTAAATACAAATTTATGACGATGGTACATGGGAGAAGGCTCATAATCGGTTGAAAGATCTATGCAAACTTATATTTCACCTCTACGAGTGTCACGGGCGTAATCCAACGGATTTTGGAGTGACACTGAAATGCTGAGGCAAAGTATGAAGTGGTTGAATCTGAGCCGGGCATGGTGACGAGCGCGCATTGTTTGGAAATATGTAAACGCTGTGGTTGACAGTGATGTATGCGCGTGCGAATGGAAGAAAACACCAAGAACGAGCAGGAACGTTGGGTCGTGGCTGCAGTATCAAGAGCAAGGGAACCATTCCACCAAGAGAAGGCGCGTGTTGCGCCTTCTGGCATAGAGTAGAAGGAGCGGGATGGGGTCAAACTCACCACCATGGGAAAGAGCATTGCCGGTTTCCTCAGGCGGCTGCATATTGAGGAAGGAAAGAACGCCCTCAACTCACTGAGTACCAAACCACCACATAATGAGCATCGAGAGGACCAGTAAGAGCTTCACAATGTCCCAAGATAGGAAAACATCAGAAAACCACCAAGATGGTGCCAAGGTCAGAGCAAGAAGCATCATCGCCGTGAACCATTCCACCAGAAGCACCATAACCAGCCCGGTCCCAACCCGAATCCCAACCACCAGCACCACCAGCATCAGCATCAGCACCTCCTCCTCATCCTCCTCCTGGCCTCCAGCCCCTGCCATGTTCTCCATGTCCCTCCCCCTCGACAGATGCTATATATATTACTTCCGCAGACCCTACTTTCAACAATCAACAAAAGCGCGGTTGGCGTAGTGGTCAACGCGTTCGCTCCTGATGCTGTCCGCACTACCTCCATGGGCAGTGGACGGGGAATGGTCATACTAAGGCGTACTCCCCAGTTCCAAGGATCGGCGAAAGATCCCGGGTTCGAATCCCGGACCGCGCATTGCTTTTTTGTATTTCCTTCTCTTTTTTGTCTTTTAACAGCTTTGGAGGGGCGTAGGGAGGTGGGGAGAGGGGAAGGGATCGTGGAGGAGGTGGGAGATAATGATGGAGGTTGGGGATGGGCTTTCTTTTTTTTTTTTTTTGGGGGGGGGGGGGGGGGGGGGAGTTTAAAGAGCTCGTGTCGTGAGGAAATGGACATTTGGAGGAATGAGGGTGGTGATTTTTGTCCTCGGAGCCATCATGTATGTGCGCGTGGTGTTTTGCCCTCTCCTGGGAGACTTGCGAGTGAGTGCCAACCCTTAGAGGCTCAACTATCAGAAGGGGCATCCGCATAGCCACCTCATGATTTATAGAATCACTTTCTATGTCACGGATTCTATGCATAAAGTGTTCTTTTATATAATCCATTGTTAGATATATTTTGCTCATGAGATGGATTGTTTTGTCTGCTTTGTTGTTCACAATTTCTTGAACTGACAGCTCCACCGGGCATTGCGGTCAACCTGGTAAAACATACTACGAAAAGCAAACCAATCCTATCAAAAGGGATCTACGATGGAACAAGTGGTCGCAAATTGCTTTTATCTCCTGTTTACCTACACCTTAGTTGAGGAGTTTACTATTTTTCAGTTGACGACGTTGGATGTCTTAACATCATATTCCCACAACCAACTTGTTCCCAGCTACTCTCGGTGTTCTCCATACTGTGAGCGAACGTGCATGTCCCCGGGGAGTTTCAACATTCAATTTAATCTTCAGACAAAGGCACAGGACGCGATCGCAACCACAAAAGTCCTCAACGATGGGAAGATGGGAAGGTCCGGGTCCCATACCCCGCCACCTGCGAGTTGCTTCTGCCCCACTTTTCCACCTTGGCTTGGAAAATGGCGGAGGCCGGAACCCAAAGGAGACACTCGTTCTTTCCTTTGGTAAAATTTGCAGTGAAGATCGAATAATTTGCGAAACGAGTCCATGAGTAACATCCTTTTGCAAATTCAAGTTTCTTTGTTTTCTATCAAGTTGTGTTGATGTCTACATCGTTGTGTTTCTTACATGTACTACCTCTACTTCGCGATCCGACTGGCGACGTTTAGCACTCCTGCCAGCGTCTTCGCCCGCTGGGGAAGTACTCTCTTGCGGTCTTCCTCTCTTTTTATTTCCTTTGCTACCTCGATTCTCCATCTTCCTCGGTACCTGCTCTTCTTCCCTATACTTATCCTGTTTATTCACGCTCTGCATAGGATATCCGGCAGTAATCGGGTAGCTCGGCTCTGGTTCACTACCTCCCCTTGCCATACTCAAAAGCGTTTTAGCTGCACTCATCTTCACCGACATACTATTCCTCACAGCTGAAGTTAAAGTGGGAGGAGGTCTCCCGCCAACCGAGTAAACAGCGGCCGCGCCCTCCATCTCATTCTTACCCTTAGCCTCGGAAGCGAGAGTGTCGCTGACAAGATGGCCAGCGGACGTTCGCAAGGGGTTTGGAAGTTCGAAGGGATATAGAATAGAAGAGATGGAAGGAAGTCTCGAGCAAGAGCCGTGGCTACCTTCCGTTCCAGGAGTAGATCTAGGCACAGGTGCAGCAGTGCCAGAGCCACTACCTCGTGCTTCTATACGAGCGGCGGAAAGAGGGTTGTGAATTTGAGGTCGAGTCTCAAACTGAGACACGTCGGGAATGTTTGACGGAGACGGGTATAAGCTAGAGGTACCTCTACCTTTACCTCGAGCGCTAGAACCAGAGCCAGAGGCGGCACTCTGACCGTTGGACCAAAGATTGCCAGGCCTGGGCGGTGGCGCGTACTGTTCCCTCGTCTCGTTCCTTGGTCTTCCAGCTTTCTTAGGTACCTTCTCCTTCGGCTTTGTAGGCGGAATCAACCGGCTTTTCTTTTGAGAAGGTACGATCTGGGACTTTGCGGGCCCAATATGCGGATACCGGGATAATGGAGCGCTTTGAATCTGCCCATGCGCCACGGGGCTCAACATGCGCGGGAGTGGCTCCGTCGAGATTCGGTCATTTTATCTCGCTGGACCTGCATATCCTGGCAGGGCTGCTCTCTGCGGTACAGCCAGGGCTTTGGGCGCATATGGTGGTTGTATGTTGTAGTGATTTGCGGGTTGTTGTGGTGTGTGGAGGAGCTGATGGCCTCGAGGCATCTGTACAGGCATATAATCCACCCGATGCATGTTGCCATGGAGGTTTGGCACCGCAGCTGGGATTGATGCTACATGGTTTTCTTGACGAGCCCCTGATGGACGGGCTCCGGGCAAATAAGCTTGGTTGATCGTGGAAGAATGGTGGTACATGGTGTGAATGTGTATATGACGGATTTGCTGCTAATAGCTTGGAGGTGTTAGCGAAGGCTAAAGGTTGTGAGGCAATTAGATCTGGACATACTATACAACACAGATAGACGATATCCCGTAGCAACAATGGGCTTTGAGGGATTCTGAGCGGTGGATCCTTCACGTTGCCTGAAGGTGTGCGGTACTCTTTTCCGCACACGCCCTGCGAGAGTCAAAGAGGAGAAGATGGCAAGTGTTTGGTATGGGTGGCGCGATGGCTGGAATCGAAAAGTATCTAAGCTATGCGAGGCCCAAAATAAATACTTCGGTCGCCTTAACGGTCTGAGGATATTGCGAATAAGGTCAGATGTATCAGAAAATACTAGACTGGAACAGAGAACAGTGTTAGTAGGTTAGGCCTTTTGGGCAGGGCAAAGCGCAGTGGTTACCTCTTGGTGGAGGAGGATCAACAGGTTCAAGTTGTGACTTGGGATCGTCCTGGCAACTCGAGGACGCGTTTAACTGAGGCTTGCGACGCGGCAGCAAACAATATAGGGTCTGGTGTTGAGCCGATGAAGGTAGGATTTCGTTAACAAGGGAAAATGAGAGGGTTTGAGGCAAGAAAGGGCAACAGATCGTGGCCTGAGGTTGCCCCAACTATGTCCCCGGAAGACGTGGGACTGGGGACAGTCTCTTCGAAGCGGGAAAGAAAACAACGACGAAGGTAAAGGTCAATAAATGGTTTCTGTTTCTTGTTCCTTTTTCTGTCTCTCTTACTCTCTCTCTCCCCCCTTCCCCTCTTTTTTTTTTCTTTTTTCTTTTTGTATTTTTTTTCTTGGAAGTTCAACACCCTGTGCTCGCCTTTACGAGCAAAATATTCCCGGCCGTCGCAGATGGCAAGACGATCATACTTCAAGTTGGGAGAGATGTCGGAAGAAAAAGGATTGGAGAACAAAAACACCCTTGGTGGATGACCTTGACCTTTTATGGGCACTGAACATTGGGAGGAGAAGAAAGAGGGGAGCAGTGCAAAACAAGGGGGAGAAATAACTACATGGCAAACCCTTACCCTCGCAGGATTGCGCGGTGAAATGACTGGCTGGTTGAGCTCTCTGTAAAGCTGCATGTGAATCTAACACACAGGCAGCGATGTAGAGAGAGACATGTTGAATGTTCATTCAAGGGGATTGCATTTAGTCACCCCCTGGGGCGTAACATACACGCTGGAAGTATTAAATTACGTTTGGGCCTGTACAGAGTATGCAGGAGTTGTTCTAGAGGAGCTGAAGGCAATTTGGCAGTGACTCCGACCAAAACCCGGGAGTCATTGAAGCAGGACCTATTGATGACAATATCTTCCACTTCTTGAACCGAGTTGTTACAGCAACGGTACGGTATCTTTTCACTCTCCCGTACCTGTCTTTTGCAGGTCAACGTGGCTCCGGGAGCTCTGTATTCTGCAAAGTTTCCGCATTTCACTGGACCGACGGCACGGTTATTGCCTCTGCAATCGTAGAGACTTGACGCAAAAAGATGCGCAAGAAAGCCCAGATTTTTGGACACAGCTTGGAGTTTATGTATCTGTCCTGCTAAATCGCCTCTTGACAAATCCAACGCAAAACATTCATTACAACAGCCGGTGGGCTTATGTACTGAATATGTAAGGTGCTTATTCACGATGTTCAAGGCCCGATTGCAACTAAAATGACGCCCACAAGCTAAAACCTGTCATTGTATTGACAAGTGCTTTCTGTTCGGATCTTGAATAGAAGAAGTTAAAGGAGAAAAACGTCAAAGGTCTACAGGTGTCAGCCATTCGTGTGTCGATGCAATCTCAAAACATGGCTTCAACAGCAACAGTTGCCGTTCCGGTACCGCTTCTTGTACCGAGAGGTAGGCAACCAGCGCGCGCATGCACTGCGGTTAGGCGATTGTATGTATGTGCGAACGGCGAACCGTAATGTTCTTGAATCTTTAAACGCATTACCGATCCATCGGACCGGAATAAGTCAAGTTGCCGTCCTGCAATGATTGTATATATCTCCCGTCGTAGCCTATTCCCGGACTCAAACACCTTGATAATCTTAGCGTAAGGGGGTGTATACACACCGCACACAACTACACAACCTCGTAAAAATCGTAAATCTTATTCGTTTTTAACCGTTTCTATATAGAATCGAAGCCTAATAACTATATTTTTATTATAGAAAGTAAATAAATAATATCGCTATTATTATTAAATATCTTTACTATTTTTTTTATTACAATACCGTCTAAATCCATCCTTAAAACCCAACCTAAGAAGCGTACTCGTCGCGGCAATATTACCTTAATTTACTTTAATAAAAATTAAATTAATCTTAAAACCCTATTAACTCTATAACGTACCTCCACCCGCCCTAAGAAGAAAAATCGTACTTTAATCGAAATAGAGGAGGTTATCGCTAATTTATCTAAGATTAAGAATAAAATTATTTTTAAAAAGAAAGCCGCGCTTAAGAAGAAAACCGCGCCTAAAAAGAAAACTGCGCCTAAGAAGCCCACTACTATTAAAAAGCCTACCGCTATTAAAAAAGGGAAGAAAAAGGCTTAGGACCCTACCCTAAAATTAAAGGTCGAAACCGATAATGACCCGCTACCCTCCTCCCTCTTTAAAGTAACCGACGAATTTATCGAAATCTCTAACGGTATTAATAATATTTCTAATTTCGACGACGA